GACATGCAGTAGATATCCGAACGGTAGTAAGATATCAAAACTTAGACTAAGACGTTTAAATGAAACAAAACAAAAGGTCAAACATCCAGATCATTATCGTCAAGTACCTTGTCGACTGTCCTGGCCGATTATGGCTGTCCAAAACCTGCGATCTTCAAAGGGGTGCATTTTATCGTGTGCGGATTTCCCTTTATGCCAAGAGGCTGTGAAGAATGATCTCCCGTTGCCTTCCTCTGTCTCTTTCCTCGCAGATCTTTCCATTGGTCGCAACATGTTTCCAGTTTCTTCTTTTCACAACACGACCAAAAACGTGATGTCTTTTTCTGATGTTTGTGATAAGTTATCGTTCGAGCCGTCCCCTCTTTCAAAACATCAGAGTTGGTCTTTTTGACTGTCAAAGGAATTTAAGTTGATAGTAAAGTAAAGGACCCCTTTCCCGCGCCTCCAGGCGTATTGGGCATATAGGGCTAGATCTATATTTTAAAGGCTGGCTCGACATGAGAGTCAAAGTAATTTAAAAAAAAAGCCCGTAAGGACCCAAACCCACGACTTTCCGATCCGAAGTCGAGCATCTAGTCGCTTCACCACCGGGACTCCCAGTTAAGAAAACGACAGAAAATCTGTCTATCTATTTGTCTGTTGGTATTTGTTTGCTAGCACCGGCACCACTTTTATTCCATGCGGATGGACTAATGTCATCCCCACAACCCAACCCTGGTTACGCCCTATAGGCCAACCCCTCCCTCCCTCCTTAGACACTCAGTGTACGCTGTTGGCGTCTATTCCGCCCCATTTTTCGCTTCCCGCCCGCGCGTTGGAGATATATAGGCTAGTAGCAGACAGTCATTTTATTGAACGAAGTTTTTTCTCCAGGGACACAGATGAGTATCATTTATTTTATACATTAGAGTCCTATGTAGTCACTTCATAGTTAAAGCATATTTGTGTATGTGTACTGTTGTCCTTTATGTGCCGATGAAGGCTAATCGCCGCAACGTCCTTTGTTTGTTTATTGCGATCGAATTTGTAAAGCTAACATAAACTATTTGTTTCTTACCAACTTTTTCTCCTCCCTATAATTTTCTACTCCTTTTAAAAACAGTAAAAGAACAGTAAGGCAGAACACAAGTGTAGTAAATGACCGAGTGACGTCCGCATTCTGGGCCAGACGCTTCACTATCATTGCGATCAGGCACGTCGCCGCCACGGTAAAAAACCCATTGGGTGGGCTTGGATCTTCCCCTACTCCCTTATGTCCTAGCCAGTAAATTGTGGGTGGGGGGGGGGGGCCTGCAGGTTCAGACGCCTATGATTACAGTGTTCTCTCGACAGGTTGCTTAACAGTCTGAGGTAAAGGGACTAAGCCGTACGGGACAAAGCTCGGTGCATTGAAGCCGATCCTAAGGACTTACTTATCTTTAAATACATTTTTTTGTTTGTTTATTGTACAGCCATAGCTGCGTACTTGCCGCTGGCTACCTGTTGCCAGTCTCGTGGTCTGGTTTATTTTATGGCTAAACATATATGAGACTGGGTTTTATATCCGTCGGCTGTAAATGGACGTTATCCAGCTAATATTTACGTGCGCATAACGTGTTTTATCTTTTACCCGTTGAAGGGAATCGGGGCGTGTTTATGAACCAGATGATTCTATTACGTTTATAGTGTGGGCATGTTACCGGGGTAATTCTTCTTCTTCGCTTGTCCTCAAGAAGGCGGTTTGGCACATTGTGTTGTGGTTTACAGCTAGGCTGGATACCTGCGATTTTCGGCTGTACACGGCAAACTCGATATTGGTGGGCTTTTATGACATGCTTGTGAAGGGAGTAGCGGGTCTGTTTTTTTCTTCTTCCCTAAATGAGACCCCGGAATCCATACCTGAAGTCGGGACACTTGAAGTACGTAAATAATACGTAAATAAAAGTAATACCGGACTGTACAACGCATGTCGTAAGAGGCGATTAAGGGCTGGGCTTGTCTACCTCATTCCCTAAAAGGGTGTTTAAAAGGCGAAAGAACTGGGTTTATACGCCAGGTCCCATCCCATATGGCTGCTAATGCTGTCTGCACATAGCTGCTGATGACCCGCCGGTCGGTGCCTTCTTAACGCATGGGCCTGCTGGGCACTTGCCTGCCCCCCCCCACCCCCAATGCTAATCTGTATGTCAACTTCATTCCTGTTGTCGTAGGGGCCCCAGCACACTGGTTTGCACAGGAGCCCATAACTTTGTTAAGATGGCTCTGCCGCCAGAGTGTTATACAAAATGCATACGTCATAGCTCCAGCAGCAATCGTTGGGGGGGGGGGGGGTCTTTAAAACACTAACTCCAGTAGGTAGCTAATTGTACCCCACCAGGACATCACACAAGCAATAAAACACCCGGTGACACATATCTATGCCCCGGATTTATTCAGGGCCCCCGGCACAAGCCAGGGTGGGGCTTCAAATGACAACAAAATTGCATCCCACATAGGGACGACAATATTGCTTCCCGTAGAATATCAGACCACTAAAACTAACCAGCTACTTGAGCGGTTCTCAACTTGTGGGTCGCATCCCTTGGGGGGGGGGGGGGGGTGAGTCGAACAACTCTTTCACAGGGGTCGAATAAGGCCATCGATAAACACATATTCACTGAAGTTATGAAGATGCAACGAAAATAATTTATTGTTTGGGGGGTCATCACAACATGAGAAACTGAATTAAAAGGTCGCAGCATTGGGAAGGTTGAGAACCATTGAGCTATAAGAACAAGACACGTGTTTTCATACGTGTGTGTGAACGTGTGTGTGTGTATCTGAGCATATGCGTATTCTGTATGTAGGTGCATTTGTGTGCGTGTATATGAACGCATAAGTGCGCATGATAATAAGCATATATGTGAGAAAGGTGAACATGAATAAAAAAGTAGCGGGCGGGGATGGGGAAAAAAAGGGGGGGGGGGGCACAGTCCGCCAGTAGCATACAAAACAGTCGACACACGGGGCACATCTTGGAAGCATGTTCCACGGTCCCTGATTCTGATTCTGCTAGTATTAAAGGAGCGACGGCTCACATGCTTCACCGCTTCCACAATCCCGTCTCCTGTTACCTGGTTCTGAAGACTCCAACAGTCTTTCACCGGTTGACACTGTCTTTTTGACATCTAGTTCTTTGTGTCAGACTGCATCAGTTGGTGCCAGCTTGCACAGTTGGATGATCTCACCTAGATCTTCTGATGTGTTAGGAGAGACTGTAAACTGAGAGCACACCTACTTCGAATGGGTCTTGCTAACTCTGCTGCATGTGGTTATATTTCATCAGAAACAACTTCAGAGCATATCTCACAGGTTTACCCCAACTTTTATGACTGTCGATGAGTGACCCTACAGCGTGGCACATGAAAATGCTGAGCATGTGCTCCAACACTGTCAACTGTATGCTGACAGCAGAGACGCAATCTGGCCTGTTCCAACCACAATGAAGACAAAGCTGTATGGTACACGAGAGGATGTGGGCTGCACGATAGCTTTCATAAAGGCTACTGGCCTCCTGATATTTTTTCTGACAGAAGGATCGGATACGAAGGAGAAGACTGTCGAAGAAAAGAAATCTGGCCCATAGGCGCATTCCTGCAAGGGAAACTATGGGGCATCAGGGAGGACTTCCAACGCATCGTCCTGTTTGTGATCTATAGTATAATCGACGCTTTGCAAATGTTGATCGTGGAAGATGTTCCTACCAGCATTGTTTTACAAGTTGACACCGCCTGTTGAAACCTAATTCTATCACGCTGTCTGTTTTCGTGCCAGGATGACTAGGTGGCGGTAGAATGGTGGGTGTGTTAAGGGGAGGGGGAAGATACAGGTGGGGGAAGAAGGAGAGAGGTAAGGGATAGATATGTATATAGACAGACAGATAGATAGTGCGGGATAGATAGAGAACGAACGAGAAAGAGTGATATACAGACAGGAGAGAGGGAGGAAGAAAGAGATAGAGAACGAACGAGAAAGAGTGATATACAGACAGAGAGAGAGAGAGAGAGAGAGAGAGAGAGAGAGAGAGAGAGAGAGAAAGATAGGCAGAAAGAGACAGAACGAACGAGAAAGAGTGATATACAGACAGAGAGAAAAGAAGAACGGACGAGAGAGGAATAGGGTAGAGATGCGTCGGCAACTAAACGTCAGCACAAAGAGACCTGACTTTTAACCCTGTGTTTAGTACCAACTTGGGACAGGTGAGAGTGAGACAAGGGGGTGTTCATGTGGGGCAAGGGGGTGTTCATAGAATGATGGAGTTGTCCTCTGGCTTCTATTTCTTTACCGCTGTCTGCACTTTCCAATCTTAGATTTATCTATTTATCTCAGCTGCCGCGCTGGCTTTGTACTGAGCACCAGATTGGCTAAACAAGCTACGCTTTCTATTCTTTTGACTTTCTAACCCTCAATGGAGTATAAGCCCTCGCTATCGCTTACAGCTTTTCCCATGTCCTCCCCATCTTTTTAACTTTGCTGTCTAACCCCCCCCCCCTTTTCCATGTGTTTTTTGGTCTTCTATTATTTATGTGTCCCAGTGAGTTTCCGTGTAAAGACATTCTAGTTATATAACTTTACTGCCCCGAAAAGGATTACCTTCTTGGCAGATTAAACAGGGTTACTTTTGATTTTTTCCTGTTGGATTATTATCCAGGATGGGATACTTTGGTTCACAGAATTGGTTACATTTTCAGGAGGGCAGCTGGGAAGGAAACTGTCTGTGAGATAATCAGATCTGTTATTTAACTCTTTCCATCCCAGGAGGTGATAGGTCATCCCCCAGTGAGTCACTTGTGAAATCAACAAAATGATGGGTATACTAGATCCGAAGGGTCTAAGTGCACATCCCTTATGGGAGACAAATGTGTTGTTGAGTGTTTTAGGGTGCCTCTGTTAAACACAAAATGTACAAACATAATATGTTAACTGCTTAACAGCATTGGAATTTGTGTTGTGAGCTTCTGTATCTTTTTTTTCTTCTTCAGCGGGTGGTGTTGGGAAAAGTGCACTTACCATCCAGCTAATACAAAATCAGTGAGTAGTCTCTCTTGTCAGTTGCTAGTCGTTTTGTGCTTTCCTGCTTGGTTTTAATTTGTTTATTTAACCTTAGTAGTGGCTATGAGTCCATGAATTGAACTTAATTCCTTATTTAGAAGCTGTACCTCGAACATCATCATCATCATCGTTAACATCATCACTGCCACCATCATCATCATCCCATAAGTGAAAGTAAAGGAACCCTTTTCACGCCTTTACCTGTATAGGGCATATAGGGCTAGACCAATATTTTATAGACCAATCGGCACAAGATGGGTGATGTGGTCATCATCATGCCAGCCGCCTTTTGTTCCTGGAACTGCACCTAGTACTCACTCAAGGCTGGGTCGACCTGGGATCCAAGGTCGTTTTTAAAAAAAAAATTTGGCTCTGCCAGGGCGCAAACCCATGACCTTCCGATTTGCAGGCGAGCTTCTAGCCACTCCGCCATGGCGAATCCTATCATCGTCCCATGAATTTCACAATTCTAATTCTCATTTGTACCCTTTTATCATCATCATCATCGTCATAATCATCATCACAACATCATCATCAGTTGTCTGTGAAGTGAGGAAGGGAATTGTCTGTGAAGGAAAGGCGATGAGGAAGGGAGTTGTCTGTGAAGTAAAGGTGATGAGGAATGAGAATTATCTGTAAAGGAAAGGTGATGAGAAATAAAATTGTCTGCGAAGGAAAGGCGACAAGGAGGTAATTGTCTGTTAAGGTAAGGTGAAGAGGAAGGGAATTGTCTGTGACGGACAGGTGATGAGGAAGGGAGTTGTCTGTGAAGGAAAGGTGATGAGAAAGGGAGTTGTCTATGATGGACAGGTGATGAGAAAGGGAGTTGTCTGTGAAGGAAAGGTGATGAGAAAGGGAGTTGTCTGTGACGGAAAGGTGATGAGAAAGGGAGTTGTCTGTGACGGACAGGTGATGAGAAAGGGAGTTGATTGTGAAGGAAAGGTGATGAGAAAGGGAGTTGTCCGTGACAGACAGGTAATGAGAAAGGGAGTTGTCTGTGAAGAAATAGGGAAGAGGATGGGAATTATCTGTGAGGAAAGGTGACAAGGAGGGAATAAGTCTATTAAGGTAAGGTGAAGAGGAAGGGAATTGTCTGTGAAGGAAAGGTGATGAGGAAGGGAGTGTGAGGGAAAGGTGATGAGGAAGGGAATTGTCTGTTAAGGAAAGGTGATGAGAAAAGGAATTGTCTGCGAAGGAAAGGCAACGAGGATGGAGTAGTCTGTGGAGGAAAGGTAATGAAGATGGGAATTGTCTTTGAAGAAAAGGTGATAAGAAAGGGAATTGTCTGTGAAGGAAAGATGAAGAGGAATGGGATTTTCTCTAAAGGAAAGGTGATGAGTAAAGGAATTATCAGTGAAGGAAAGTTTGGGTCAGTATCATGGCACAAGGTTAGTAACCCAAATGTGCTCCGTTCTACTTCTAACTCAAGCCTGAATCCAAAGAATTTCAGCACAGTGAGAATCCTGAAATATTTTGGGTAGATTTTTAACTCCAGATTTTGCCTGGGCAGCGCTGTTAGGCTACTCTTTTTAATTTCCTACACCCAAGGGATTTTTTTTACATGTGCAACAATACACACGGGCGTCTGATCTTACTACCCAGAGACTAGTTGAAGTTACTTAAAGTCCACATAAAAAATATTCCATCCTTCACCGGGGGCTGAACCCGGGACCTCAACACTCGAGACAGACAGCCCCCCCCCCCCCCCCCCCAGTGATGGAAAGATGATAAGAAAGTAAATTTTCTTAAAGGAGATGCGATTAGGGTAGGAACTTAACACCCCATCTAATATTTTGTGGTGAAGAATCTGTAATAATCAAGGGCATCTCACCCTCCCCATTAGTACCTGAGATTACCACCATTACATAAAAAATAAAAAATAAAAAGATTGGAAAATTATAGCACCCACAATTATTTTGGGGGGAAGTACATGGGTGGAGCTTGAATTAATTGAAGACTTCCATTAAAAGAGTCTCAGAAGGTATCAAGATCCTGATAAATAACTCTACAGCCAGCTAAATTGTCCTTGCTTTGAAGCCAACAAGAGTCAAGGGAAAAAGGGCAGACTTAAACAAAACAAAAAACTGTGAAGAGAATTAGAGTATTTGAGGAAAAAGATGGGGAGGACTTTGAGTGAGCTGCACACTCTGGCAAAGGATAGGATGACTTGGGTTGGTTGAGGGCATATTCTCCATTAGGAACAAGAGGCAGAAGAAGAAAAGACAGAAGTATCTGGTATTTTGCATTCTATATCTTGTTATGCTGTCATATTTTAAGGGAGATATTGTTTTTATAATACAACATTTGTGTCTATTTCAGTTTTGTGGAGGAGTATGATCCAACGATTGGTGAGCTTTTAATTTACAATGACATTTATGATTATTTATATAGTCTGTGTAAGCTCTTATTTACAAACTGCAAATTAAAATAATTGCTACTTTTGCATCAATAAATATTTGAATCAGTTCGAATGAAAAATGGAATGTAGAATTTGGGAACTACAAAATACCAAAATGGTAAGCCTTTTAAGAATGCAGTAATGAATGAGAGAGTGTTGCAGCATACAATCCTTTGTTGGCATATAAAACCACTATAAGACATATAGTATATTTGAAAAGTAATTATTTATTTACTATAAATCAGTTATTTACTTACTATAAATAAATGGGAGTCGCCATTGTGTAGTGGCTAGATCTAGTGGCAGATCGGAAGGTGGTGGGTTCGGTTCCTGTCAGCCAGACTTTGAAAATTAAAATGACTGGCTCCCAGGTCGACCCGGACTTGAAGGGGTACCAGATGCGGTCCTGGGAAGTAAAGGTGGCCAGCATGATGCTGACTATCTTATCCACCAAATGCTGATTGGTGGATAAAATATAGGTCTAGCCCTATATGCCCAATATGCCTGAAGTCGTGGAAAAGGGTCCTTCACTTTACTTTTTAACTTACTGTAAATAAAAAAAGCTGAAGGAACAGATAAATGAGACAAAACACTTTATCCTCTTTTGTAATTGTGATGTAAGACAAATACTGTAATACATCATGTCCAGATACAATAAATAAAAACCTTACAAAATATTACAATGTTTATAGGTGTATAGTAAATTTTCGATTACCCTTGTACAGCTGCATGATAAACAAAAGAAACTCACCTACGCCTTTAGGAGATACCAGGAGTTGTTGAAATACCGTCTTCGGGTGGGGGAACACATACTAGCCTATGCTCCATTGGGGGTTAGAAGACAGAAGAGGGAGAAGAAGAAGATTTTTGGCTATGATTCAAATGTCTCCCTGTAGCACAGTAGAACACTATTTTCGGGAAAGGCGGAAAGGTGCCAACAAGCTTACCAGTACAATGGAATCTCAGATACAAAAATTTGATCCATTGCATAACTGAGCCAACATGGTAAATGAATAACTTGTTTCCTGTAATTATTGTTCCCATTAAAATTAATGAAAATAATTTTAATCGTTGCAGCCCTAAAAAAAAAAAAATCTCCCTATTGCTTATAGTTTCAAAATGATGTTTTTCGTTTTGTTAGCGAGGAAAATGAGTGGCATTGCTTTAAAAAAAAAACTTTGTCGGGAGTGGACAAGGATGCTACAATCCATCATCATCTTGAAGTGCCTGATCAACTGGCTCAAGTCCTCCTTCCGCAATGTTAATGGTACCTAATTCATTAAAAAGTCACCAAGAGGCTATTGGGTAACAATAAAATTTCTAATTTCTCCAGCTCGCGTCCTGGATTTTGCGTCGTATAAATGTTTAATGTTAATTAAGAATCAACATCACAGCATTCAGGATGTTTGCATAAGTGCTCCGTAGAGTTCCAATTCTAGTGGTAACGGTAGCAGTTTGATCATATATACTTGTCACCTTTTTATTTGGGTGCTGATCGTCAGGCTTTGTTGCACTAAGCGACATCCATTCACTTTTGCTAAGAACCCCCATGCACTTTGTCTGCCTCTCAACACAGAGCCATCTGTATAGGTTATCACATCACCTGGGCATATTCAGGGACAGAAAAATTGGCGAGCCTGATCTTCTGTCCTGAAAAACTCATATCCAGGTGCACTGCTATCCTGAGGTTCCACAATATTTGTATGAGATGACTCGGGAATGTTTAGGTGAAATTGGCTTCCTCATACGATAGAAAACTAGATGCAGAATGTACCTAATCCTGAAGTAGTTATTAACGCCTAGACATAAGTTGGTTGAGGGCCAATGCTTCAGTGTCAGATGAAAGGCAAAATAAGAAGAAGAGGGATACAGAAATTGGTTGCCTACCTTCCACCTTGATGTTAGTGTATGTTGTTGATTCTTATTTGATTTAAAATTACAAAAGAAAAACTGCTTTATATATGAGTAACAGTAATAACTGCTCAGATAGAACGAGTTGAAGTATCTCCTCCTCCTCCTTTTTAGCACTCACAGACTGTTCAGTTTTTTTGTTCATCCACTTCTGCACTTTGATAATGTTCCAGAACTTGAGCTTTGCATGCATATCCATTTTACGGATCTGGCTTATTTGTATGCAGACTGTTGGTTCCTTGCCTTTCAGACAGTTGCATGCTGACTTTGAAGGACACACTCCTGATTAGTTACCTTTTATGACCTGCTTCCTGGGGTGGGTGTTTCCCCCCTGGTGAGGACAGGTTCTTCCCTCTCCACCCACCCCAAAATGGGGCCCCAGAACCCTCATCAGGGGTGGCAGCAGTAAATGTGTCTGTATCTGTTCTACAGAGGATTCCTACAGAAAGCAAGTGGTGATAGATGGAGAGACATGTCTGCTAGATATACTGGACACCGCCGGTCAGGAGGAGTACAGGTGAGGCTTGTGGCAGTCATGTGTTGTGATTGTTGTTAACATGGTGCCACTCATGGTTGCTTTATATAATGTGATAGCTGTGGATATGGATGCTGGCATTGGCTTCATCCTCAGGAGCAGATTGATGTGGGGGGGGGGGGGGAACAAGCCTTATCCTAAGAAGAGGAAATGCAATGAGAAAACTTAAATGTTATGGCAAGGCAGGCTTTGGTTGGCAGCTGGTCTAGCATGGATGGAAGCTCCAATAGGTGGAAAGACAGAACACCACTTTTCTGGTCCAGCAGTTTCTGCAGCATTTTTTGTTCCATCCAATAATATTGGTGTTACCTTTCCTTTGAAGTAAACAAGGCAGAGAGAGAGAGAGAGAGAGAGAGAGAGAGAGATTGTGTTGCATGTTCAACACATGGTCTCTATAATACTGCACAGACTTTGTGCTATAAAGAGGAGGAATTTCATTCCTGGTGTTAATTGCTTATTGCCATGGACAGTGATTTCCAAGCCTCCATATAGCCCAGTATAACACTATTGTCTAGGCAGATTGAAAGGTGCTAACACAGTTGTGGATATTTTGTGAGTGAGAACCTGTTATCTTCTGTCCTTTATATTCTTTCCAGTGAAACAAAGGCCCTCAACCATGTTGTTCTATTTTTTGCCGTCAGTGCAGCTCACCCCATGCCCTCCCTGACAAATTTATCTTAGTGTCTAATTCTTTTTTGAATGAGTTTTTTTTCCCTTTCTTCTATTTATTTTTCTTTGTGGGTTCCAGTGCAAGGACATTCTATGGTGCTTTTGTCTTTATTCACCCCAAACAAGGGAAATCCAGAGCTGATGGGACAATCAAATTTTTCAGGGGGTGGTATCATGTCATTTGCCCTGCAAGTCTTGAATGTTGTGAGCATCTGGTGCTATGTTTTGGTGTGGCATATTTGTGTGTGATGGTGTGCAATCGGCTGCATTTGTCTGTGTGTTGGTGGGCAATCGGCTGGTGTGCAATACTGATCCTGTTTTCATTTCTCATTTTCATGTGAATTTCTAGTGTTGTTGATATCACATCTACCTTACAATCGAAAGGTGCTGCGTTCAACCCCTATATGTCTTGAACAATTTTTTTACTGTAAATTTTAAATTTCAGCTCTTTGCACACTGTCGGCAACAGATTACCCAAGTATTAATATTTAAAAAAAAATAGTAATAGCATAAGTAATAGTTAATTATGATAAAAGCGGTAGATTTATGGATCAGATTGGAAAGGGGGTGGGGGGGGGGGGGGGGGGGGGGGGGGGGGGCTGGGGTTTGGTTCTTTCGTAATCTCCTACCCCAGATGACGTCACATTACAGTCCAACATTTTCGAGGGTGGTAAGACTGGGTTTCCCGGTTTTCTGATGCTTTCAATGGTCCCAAAATATCTAGAACTGGCCCTAACCCCAGCCCACCTACGTCCCACGAGAGAGTGCAGCCTAGGTCCTATGACTGCGTGCAGCCTATCTACCACCCCCTGAAATATTAGACTGTCCCGTGACCTGTGGATTTCCCATATGTGGGGCAGGATATTGAGAAAGCAACATATGTTTGGGTTAGGGCCAGCTGTACATGTTCTGGGGTCATTAAAAGCGCTCACATCATGAAATAAAGAACACTCGATATTGCCGGCAGCTGGGCAAACAAGTGTTTTTTTTTTGCTGGGTAGAAGGATGCTGTTTTTCAATATATTTTTGTGTGTAAAACTCTGTGTGCAATCGGAGGAACTCTATGTACAGTCGGAGAAATTGCCAATTGGGGTTCTGTGGGGGCTCTACAAAGGGCCAATCATTCTAGATGTATACTGCTGGGTTCACACATGAATTGACAATCACAACAAATTTGAACGTTAGTAGATCTGGAGAGAGGTCGGACTGCAGCGGCGGTGGCAGCAGCAGCAGCAGAGACGACAGACTATTGATCTGGTGGCCAGAATGCAATGTCTGCCAGAATGGTCGCAAACAAGTCAGACCCGCACGTTGTGTGCAACTATGCCACATAAACTCGCACATGTCGGAGTCTATTAAATGTCTGTGGATGCCATTCTGGCGCTTGTTTCTCTTCTTTGCCAACCTCCACAAAGGTTTGATGCATTGCGTATGCACACCTGTGGTGGATCGACAAAATTGATGGAGTTATTGAAGGTGAGATGCGTCAATCCAGGAATATTCTCAATTCCATTGTGTGCACGCCACATGTCGGAGACTACTGTCGTGCCAGGTCTGATGTTTGTGCTAATTATCAGTAGAGGTGTCTCTGCTTTTCTTTCTGTAACGCAGAGCATAAAGCTTTCCCCAGTATCGCGACAGACTCCACCCAATACTCACTGTTGAGGGAACATATGTCCCACATGATTACCCCCTCCCCCCACCACACTTTGCTGAGGTACAAGGTGGAAGAGAAGAAGAAGAAGAAGAAGCAAACTTTTATCAATTTCAACAGTGGTATTCTCTCCACCAATTATTGAAGGATTCAGTATTAAGGTATTGGCCCAAACCTCCCGTAAGTAGTTGCTCCATTCCATAGTTGTTTTCGGTGACACGCCCAGCTCTACTTGGCAAAATTGCAAAATTACTACCAGTAGTATAGAAACAAAATGATCTATCTGTACGGTAGCCGAGACCAGTCCAGTGATGTCTCTTGCCGTAACGGTATGTCCAGACGACAGCTCGACTTTTGACACCACCATCGATCTTGTCTTTCTGTCAGCGATAACATCATCTTATGATTATTCACACATCTAGTGCTGTGCAAAATGCCATGATGTTGCAGGAACGCAATGCTGCTCTGCTTGTCAGGCACAGATGCTGCTAATTCTAGGAAATTCATGGGGATTGCGACTGGAACAAGATGCTGCAAACACAAGTTGCTGAAAGTTGTTGGAGAGAAGAAGTGCGCCAAAGCCTTGGAAATGCTCTGATACCTTGGCAATGCAGGAAGACAGCTAGAAACACACTGGAAAGGATTACACACATGGCTCTTATGGCTCTAGAAATTATTTGACTGTCATGTGATGTCATCATGACAACATCATGATGTCATTGGGGTGAATAAAGATGAAAGCACCCATTCTGTTTATTATCAGGTTTTCTGAATGAGCATCATATCATTCTTCTCACTCTTGAAAGAGAGAAGATAGTCGTAGATGATGAATTAACAGATTGCATGAATATTATCATGAATGATAAAATAATTTAGTGTTTTGTGAAATAGAAAATAGTCATCTTTGTTTTCTAAATGAGAAGATGGTCGTAAATGTTTAATGAATGAAAAGATAGTCATTATAGTTTTATGAATGGTAAGATATTAATTCATTCATAGTTTAAATATGGCATGCTAGACATGATTTTGAGTATGAGTAATAATATTTTCATAATATTTTTAAAGGTGAAATGATAATTATGATCACTTTATGGGTAAGAAGGTAATCATTGTCACTCTTGTGGGTGAGAAGGTAGTCATGATTGTTTTCTGTGTGAGAAGGTAATCATTGTCACTCTTGTGGGTGAGAAGGTAGTCATGATTGTTTTCTGTGTGAGAAGGTAATCATTGTCATTCCTGTGGGTGAGAAGGTAGTCATGATTGTTTTCTGGGTGAGAAGGTAATCATTGTAACTCTTGTGGGTGAGAAGGTAGTCATGATTGTTTTCTGTGTGAGAAGGTAATCATTGTCACTCTTGTGGGTGAGAAGGTAGTCATGATTGTTTTCTGTGTGAGAAGGTAATCATTGTCATTCTTGTGGGTGAGAAGGTAGTCATGATTGTTTTCTGGGTGAGAAGGTAATCATTGTAACTCTTGTGGGTGAGAAGGTAGTCATGATTGTTTTCTGGGTGAGAAGGTAATTGTGATTGTTTGATGGGCGAGAAGGTAATTGTGGTAATTTTTTGGGTGTAAGATTCTTCTACATTTGTGCCATATACTGACAGAATCGTCATCCCTATGTTAGCTGCTGTGTCTAAGGCAACATGAACCTGATCTTTATCTCTGTCAGTGCCATGCGGGATCAGTACATGCGGACAGGTGAAGGCTTCTTGTGTGTGTTTGCTGTCAACAACACCAAATCTTTCGAGGATATCAACCAGTATAGAGAACAGGTAGGACAATGACAGATCTTGAACATATACTAGTAGTGCCAGATTACCTGACAGTCAGTGAAAGTTTGAAAGAACAGACTTTATTTTCAAATTGGGCATGCCGGCCTGTCTTACATTTGGTCCTTCCAAACACTCATCTTTCACTCAGCAATTGTACCGGCCAGTAAGCCCCATATTTTAGCGGCACTGCGATAGAGGATCAAAATACATATTTATTTGAGAATGAAAGAAAATTAGAGTCAATTTTTCTGAACTCTTTGTCTTAGATCATTTTGCAAACAGTTACCAAAGATAAGATAATGTTCAGTCATAAAAGCATGAATTCAGCACTTTTAGATATCATATCTTGTCATATTTCTGTACCTAAATGTGAAAGAAAATGTCACATTTTATCATGTTAGGCTGTCAGTCTGGTTTCCAACTTTGAGGCAAACTATAATTGCTCCATTCTTATGCCACTGAAAATTCAAACATAGCTGTCCTGGCAAAATCCAGCAGCTGGCGATGCATCAAATGCATAAGGCAACTGTTGGTTGTGTCAGCACCTGCAGTCTGTCACCACAATTGCTATTTCTAGTTGACGGAAACTGTCTGTGTACAGGAAGAAGAAGAAGAAGAAGAAAGAAATGAAAATTGTACATTGAAGCATAAGCGCAGTCGATAGGAGGCTCGCTTTCAAATCCAGTTGCGACTCGCTGCAGCCACAGTCGGCATTCGAAACCGGGCGGTTCCTGGGGTTCACCCAGCCTCTAGGAAATGAGTGACACTCTGGGGTAAATGTAGGACGGCGACACAGGCAGACAGTTTCTTATCAGCTGTGTGTACTGGTGGCAAAGCACTCATTTTTAATAACCGTATGCAGTGATGCTGGTTCACATCTCCCGACTTTACATTATTGAAGACTGCAGAGAAAATTTGACAAACAAAATATTAGGAATGCACATAGCCTCAGTATGGTTTAGTCCAGGGCTATTCAACTGGTGACCTCCGAAGGACTAGCGAGTGACCTGTGGATTGTTGCCAGTTGTATTGTATTACTGATCCTTCTTTGCTGGGGCTTGGGTCTCTGGCCCCTGAGTATAAACTTAGTTGTCTAACCCAGATTTAGTCTGTCAGTTTTCTTGGTTTATTAAAATAACAAATTTTGTGTTTGATAACATTGTGTTATGGGAGTCTCTGTGGTGTAGCGGCTAGATGCTTGCCTGTGGATCCAAAGGTTGTTGGTTCGAGTCCTAACGGAGCCAGACTTTTTGTTTCTCTCTTCAGAAATGACCTTGTCTGCCAGCTCGCTCCAGCATTAAATAGATACTAGGTACAGACCTTAGAAGTAAAGGCAGCCTGTGTGATGTTGACCACATTACCCACCTACAGCCAATTGGTTTATAAAATATAGGTCTAGCCCTATATACCCAGTACATCTGAAGATGAGGAAAAAGAGTCATTTTACTTGAATATTGTGTTATGTTATTGAGGATATTCAGTTCTAGTTCTTGTTCTTCTGGTTTCTTTAGCCTTAGACACTGGATTCTGCTGTAAATTTTCTCTGATATGATTTCTTTCCCTTGATTGTTAGTCTACATCTGTGTAGAGATTTCCTGAGGAATGTATTCCATTTATTGCTTCACCCTCTTTGTGTTTATTGGTTACTGCTTTTGTATCGTCTTCTTCTTCTTACTGTTTACCAGCTGTGGGTGAAATGTACTGGTTGTTCGTCCACCTTAGTCTTGTTTCAGAAGTTTTATGTGCAGATGACTTTACATCTTCCAGAAGCTGAGTTTTATGTGCAGATGACTTTACATCTTCTTCCAGAAGTTGAGTTTTATGTGCAGATGACTTTACATCTTCTTCCAGAAGAGTTTTAAATGCAGATGACTTTACATCTTCTTCAAGAAGTTGAGTTTTGTGTGCAGATGACTTTACATCTTCCAGAAGTTGAGTTTTATGTGCAGATGACTTTACATCTTCCAGAAGTTGAGTTTTATGTGCAGATGACTTTACATCTTCCAGAAGTTGAGTTTTATGTGCAGATGACTTTACATCTTCTTCCAGAAGTTGAGTTTTATGTGCAGATGACTTTACATGTTCCAGAAGTTGAGTTTTATGTGCAGATGACTTTACATCTTCCAGAAGTTGAGTTTTATGTGCAGATGACTTTACATGTTCCAGAAGTTGAGTTTTATGTGCAGATAGATGACTTTACATCTTCCAGAAGTTGAGTTTTATGTGCAGATGACTTTACATCTTCCAGAAGTTGAGTTTTATGTGCAGATAGATGACTTTACTTCTTCCAGAAGTTGAGTTTTATGTGCAGATGACTTTACATCTTCCAGAAGTTGAGTTTTATGTGCAGATGACTTTAATCTTGTTCTACAAATATAGGTGTATGAGGGACATGTAAAATGGTCTCGCCCCCCCCCCCCCCACAACTTTTGCAAATTCCCACAGGGTTAAGAACCAGAGATTACTGCTGTAATACAAAGACTCTGATGTAGAATATGATGAAATAACGGATGTCTGGGGTTGAAGGAGTTGAAACTAAATTTTTGTTTGTTGATAAAACTAATTAAAAAAAAAAGTTAGTTGCTTCTTTTTTATAGGATTCTGCAGAACCAACCCCAGCATTTTTTGGCTGTTGTCGTTTTTCTAAGGCAAATTTTATATTTAGTAGTTTGTTAATGCTTTCTTAACATGCAGCTGGGATTGAACCCGGCACCTTGGCATTATGAAGGGCGTTCATAATGCCTAAGCCACAGACGCAGACTGTAATTGTAAGCTAGTGCAAACTTTTCTGTGACTGTTTATATGAGCTCATTATTTATGTTTCATGTCCAGATTAAAAGGGTGAAGGATGCTGAGGAAGTACCTATGGTCTGTAAGTATTGCACATTGTTGTGACTATAGTAGGACTCTTCCATTTCTCCCTCTCTTTGTCTCTGTGCGTGTTTCTCTCCGTGTCTGTCTGGTTTTATCTCTGTGTGTTTGTGTGGGTATGCATGCCTGCCTGCCTGCCTGCCTGCCTGTCTGTCTGTCTGCCTGTCTGTCTGTCTGTCTGAGAGGGGAGGGCAGAAAGAGAGAATGAATGAACAAAACATTTTTTCAGCGGGTTGAGAATTGGGCACACAGGTCAATATTACATTCTACCTTTTATGCGGACAGAATATTTCATATATTGTAGAATACAATTTTGACCAAGCTGGAAAAAAAGAAAAAAAACATTTACACATCAGAGACAGGGAGGGAATGAGAGGGGAGAGAAAGATATCGAGACAGAGACAGTTTGTCATCAGATGTAATCATTCAGTAATTGCGAAAACCATTATTTTCATTTCTATCCCATTCTCTCTCTTTGTGTGATTAGAAAGGGTCCGGGGGGGGGGGGGGGGGGGGTGAAGGGATAATTTGTGATCAGATGTAACAGTTTAGTAACTGTAGAAACCAGTTTCATTAACAGTCATCTGTACAGATGCTAGTTTAGATACAGAGCACCAAATGAGGCAATCCTGGGGGAAAAAGATGATAAAAAAAGCACATATCAGTTACAGGAATTAGATGTGATATCTAGATCTAATGGCCACTTGAAAAGAATATTACAGGGCTCAGTGATATCTAGATCTACTGGCCACTTGAAAAGAATATTACAGGGCTCAGTGATATCTAGATCTACTGGCCTCTTGAAAGAATATTACAGGGCTCAGTAGAGGGGCTTATGAGAAGAGGCAGACCAAGAAAGATCTGGATACAGGCTTCAAACATAGTTAGTTACTCAACAGATTATCCTCATTGCACATAAGACCATTCAGTCCACAAATGCTTGGATCACCTCTTCAGTAAATTCTGCACCATGTTGTGGCTGATGACGAGTTCTGTGTTGGTTAAAAAAAAATTCATTTGGCATCCTGCATAATGTTTTTGTCTAGCCACATACCTTTTAACTTGCTGTTCTTGCAATCTGGTCATGGTTGCAGATTCAGTCATCGCAAACGCCTTACTTCTCATAGAGCTTTCAGTCTGTCTGACTGGTACATGGCTCCTGTGCCCTTACCTGCGAGCCTATTAGCTTTCTCATTTAGGCTTGAAACATGCAGACATTAAGTCCACTGCATCTGCCTGACAGAAGTGGAGGGTGCTGGTCAGCATATAGCTGCTGATTACCCAGTGACAAACTGTTATGGGACTGGTAATGATATAAGGACTCATACATCAAACAGTTAACAAAAACTTGCAAACATTATGGGGAAAAGAGCAAGGAGAAGATAAAGAGGTGTAGACCTGAATGACTTGACCACAAGGTGAAATGGAGACAGGATCACGGACCTGGTCTGAGACTTGGGTGATCATTTTATATAGTGAGCCATGAGTGCCCATACTTAGGAGCATAGAAAAAGAAGATGACAGTGGTAATAATAATGGGATAATGTTAATGACGATAATATTGAAAAATGATAATAATCATGATGAAGATAATGATGATGCAAAATTAGGCATCCTAACCTGCACAATCCGTAGGGGACGGCACTAGCGCTACAGCACCTAAATCCTCAGACCCCCCCCCCCCCCTCAATGCCCTAAAAGCAATGCAGACAATAGTGATAGTTAGATAATGATGGTGCTATTAGCGTCTTGTACTATATAGGGTATAAATCCGTCTGTTATGTGTTGGTGAAGGGACTAACAGTTCATGTATATGTGTAGCTAAAATTGCTGTACAGTACTGGTTTAATGAGAGACAAAAATATTCTGACATTCTAAAAGATGTAACACAAGAAAAAGAAAGAAAATACAGTGCTGCAGGCCTCAGTAGATGGGAAGAGGCAGACCAAGAAAGTACTGGATACAGAGCTTGATTAACTAACAGGCTTTAGGTAACCATGAGGTCTGTTGCATCTTACCGTCAAATGTTGAGGGAGTTAATCGGTCAGTTAACAGCAACTGTTGACCCAACTAACCTCACTGTTATAGGATGATGATGTAAAGATCTGAACATAGAAGAAGATTGGACAGTAAACATGATGCCAGGAAGGAGTTGGGCAGAGGATATAAGTGACTCCTTGGGTAGGAAAGTGCGGGAGAGGCAGCGAGAGTCCGAGTTTCTTTCAGGCAGACCATGATGAGAGCGACATCCTGCAAAGGCCTTGCTACATAATGATGATGCTAGTGAAAATATTCAATATCATTTATAGTTGACCTTGAAGCTGGTAATATGAAACTTAATGTAGTAGAAAGATCTCAGGTCTGGTCGGTTGGCACACCTGGTCATAAGCAGACTGTGTGGATCAGTGAAGGGTTTGCCTCGCTCCATAGCCTTCATAGAAACTTGTGGCGGTATTACATGAAAACCACTGGCAGGAGAATGAAAAAAAGGAGAACAAGATACTGTACTTGTATCAGAATGCAGGCTGTGGATATTCTGAGTTTACCCTTAAAATAGCTGTTGGCGTGCTGTTGTTTCAAGATAGGCAGTGATATCTGTATTTTTCGGCCTAACATCTACAATTTCCCAAAATCCTTCATTAATTGCCTTTCACAATATAACTTGCTAAGGAGCAGTAGGTCTGTTCGTTTCTCCCACTAAAAATGGGGCCTTGGAACACACATTGGGAAATCAGCAGTTTCATTAAAGCAAACTTTAAAACATGACTAGTAATATTTCTTATTTCAGCCCCTCTACACCTCCTCCTCCCCCCTCCCCCCATTGCCAGTTTTGTATGCTGGGTAAACCTGTGAACTCAAGTTATTTGAAAAATCCACAACTCTCAGTAATGATTTTAGCATTCCTCTTTTATCTGGCCACTCTGCATGCTAATGTTGAATATGTGGGAGTTGATGGAAACGAAAGGCCTGATAAGTTGGCTGAATCCGCCATCACTGCTGAAGATCAACCCATGGATCATGCTTTTATTAATGCCCTCAGAGAAGTGGGAAGGGTGTAGGACTTTTGAGATAGGGACTCCACATCGCTCACCAGAATAAAAGACTCGGGAGTTAAGATCAGCATAGACCAAAAGCGAGAGACACACCAGGAATACAAAAACACTTATGTCGACAAAGAACTGGCACTGTTAGTCACAAGATGCTGGGGTTCATATTGAGGGATGGATCTGAGCACCTGTGGACATGTTTGAGTGCAGTGATCATATTCCATCTAACTAATTAACTAACTGATAACCTAATTGGACTGTGTAGAGCAGGGGTTACCGGTTCACCTAAACCTGCAGACCCCTCTGTTATTTTCGAAGGTCTGCCATGGACCCCAGGCTTTTTAGTAGTCACACTTCTTCTTCTTCTTTTTCTTTAGTCGTGAATTGCCTTTCAGCATCAGGTTTTGAAGAGGCATCAGATTTGAGCCTTGGTAAGTGTCAGAGACCTACTTTACTGTATTCATTTTCTATGGCTCGCTAGGTAGGCCAGCTAACAGACTTCACTACCCTACTACACACTTAAGACACGCACCTGCTGAGTACAAACATAATCTTTAATGTACAACGAACAATACAACTTAATGCACTTCAACCTAGTTGGCAGTCCTTATCCGAAACGCTGGTGTTAAGCAGCTTTTACATTCACTGGTCAACTCGAGCTACATAGATGCTGGACAAAGAATAAAAAATGAAGTGGTTTAGCCATCTAATGAGAATGAAACTAACGATGCCAGCACCAGGAGTGTGCAACCTGAAAATTGAAACATCAAGAGGCAGGGAAAGACCGAGAAGACGATGGATTGAAGGAGTCACTGACACCTTGAGACTGCATAACATCACGGCATATCAAGCGCCTGAGTGCATCCTGGCTCAGCTGCCGATCATCTGATGAACTGCGATGCCTAGCGGCATAAGCAGATATTGACAACAGAAAAAAAAAAGAAGAAAGAGATATTTCATCAGGTTTTGAAGAGGCATTGGCTGTGAGCCTTGGTATGTGCTTGGTAGATGCTGGTTTTTGTGGCCTCAAATATTACATCTGTTGCTTGCATGGTCAACTTTTCTGCTTCCATTATGTCTGAGTGATAAGGCTCACGGTGATGTAATGGTAATGTTAGTTTCAGCTTCATAGCAAACAGGTCACCCCATAATTGCTCCGCTTCCGTGCCAACGAAGGACACACAGAATGTTCTTCACAGTCCCTTGTGGAAAGATTGACAGACTGCTGTCTCAGCATCTGCACCAGCATACACACGCAGCACTGTGATGTGCTGTCTAGTAGTAGCCTTGATACATGTCCAAATCTTTTATTTAAAAAAACCTATTGATGTAGTTTAGTGCTGGTTCCACCCTAATTTCTTTGCTGTCATTTCTGATTCTGTCTCTTCTAGTTACATTTAGGATTCCTCGTTGGATTCCTCGTTGACATTTCATTTCTGTTGTTTCGTATAGTTATACTGAGGAACCTATAGTTTAAAATATTAGAACCATATAATCTTTGCATTCAAAAAGTTTAGGTTTTTTGGATGTGTAAATGATATCATCATCACTGATCACTGGCATCATGAGAGCTCATAGACTGAAATGGTTGGGGCATATTGAAAGAATATCAGATGGTAGAGACGTAAAAACTGTATATACCAGGGAGATGAATGGTCGTAGACCACGAGGGAGACCAAGAAGACGAAGGAGAGATAATATCCAGATAGACCTGCAAACAATTGGTGTTACCAACTGGAAAGAGAAGGCCAACCAGAGAGATGAATGGAGGCGGGTGGTATCTGCAGCAGTGAACCTCAAGGGCTCAGAATGCTGAAGAAGAAGAAGAAAAAATGCTATCACGAACCCCTTAAATTTGTTCTGCGGGCCACCAGAGGGGAAGATCTTGATGCAGTGTATGTGTTGTGAAAAAATAATTGTAGAACCATAATTCTGATGTGTGTCATGGTTGTAGTGGTAGGAAACAAAGTGGACCTCCCAACTCGGACAGTGGAACAGAAGCAAGGCAAGCATACGTCAGAAGTGTTCCATATACCGTACGTCGAGACGTCTGCAAAAACAAGACAGGGTGTGGATGATGCTTTTTATACATTGGTCCGAGAGATTAGGAAATATGTACGTATTTAGCTTTGGTTCATTTTAATCTTGTGTTTTGAAGTTATATTTTGTCTTCTTCGTTTTTTTCTTCTTTTCCTCCTCCTGTTTCTTCTTCTTTTCCTACTCCTGTTTCTTCTTTTTTCCTTCTCCTGTTTCTTCTTCTTCCTCCACTTCTTTCTCTTTCTTTCTTTCTTTCTTTCTTCCTTCCTTTCTTTCTTTCTTTCTTTCTTTCTTTCTTTCTTTCTTTCTTTCTTTCTTTCTTTCTTTCTTTCTTCTTTCTTTCATCCTGCAGTGGAGCATAGACGCTCAACAACATTCTGGGCTTCCCTGTCATTCTGTCATTTGCTAACTCTTGCAACTCCCTCCATTTAACACTGTGTAATTTTTCTCTGTCTCCGGTTCTAATGAACACTGTATTGACAATCATTCATAAATAACTAAGCAACACTATGTACCAACAATCATTAACAGTTTCTGTGCCAGAGAAAAATCACACAAGATGCTTTTCACTGTCCGTTTGAAAACTAGTGAACAAACAAATTAGTCCCAGCAAAATTCATAAACATACACATGCAGTAAATGCATAAGGTAGCCTTCAGAGGTGCTGGCACCAACAGTTTGCAACCAGAATTGCAATTCGTCATTGATGGAACGAGTCGGCCATGACAACTTGGCAGTAGCACATTCAGTATTGCATAAGGGGCATCACTAATCTAGACGTAGACTGGCCACTTGACATTTTCTGAATATCACAGTACATGACAGTGGATAATACGGAAAGCTTTCCAAAAACAATAAAATATAATAATTCAAATGGCATCCCACTAATATAGCACTGTAGCACCAATCATTCATGAATAAGATCCCAGTAAACCACACTCTGAGTATCAACAATAATTCATAAATAGAATTCGCTACAGCACACTGTGAATGTTAGCAGTCATTCATAAATGAGATTCCACAAAGCCCCACACACTGCATCTACAATCATTCACAAATGCCCCCAAACTGTATCAAGAATAATTCATTAATAAAAACCCACTAAGCCCAACACACTATCAAGAATCATTCGTAAATGAGATCCCACTAAGCTCCCAAACTTTATCAAGAATACTAAAAAAAATGAGATCCCACTAAGCACACAGACTGCATCATGAATCATTTATGAATGAGATCCCAATAAGGCCACAGACTGTATCATGAATCATTCATGAATGAGATCCCACTAAGCCCACAGACTGTATCATGAATCATTCATGAATGAGATCCCACTAAGCCCACAGACTGTATCATGAATCATTTATGAATGAGATCCCACTAAGCCCACAGACTGTATCATGAATCATTCATGAATGAGATCCCACTAAGCCCACAGACTGTATCATGAATCATTCATGAATGAGATCCCACTAAGCCCACAGACTGTATCATGAATCATTCATGAATGAGATCCCACTAAGCCCACAGACTGTATCATGAATCATTTATGAATGAGATCCCACTAAGCCCACAGACTGTATCATGAATCATTTATGAATGAGATCCCAATAAGGCCACAGACTGTATCATGAATCATTCATGAATGAGATCCCACTAAGTCCACAGACTGTATCATGAATCATTTATGAATGAGATCCCACAAAGCCCACAGACTGTATCATGAATCATTTATGAATGAGATCCCAATAAGGCCACAGACTGTATCATGAATCATTTATGAATGAGATTCCACTAAGTCCACAGACTGTATCATGAATCACTCATAAATGAGATCCCACTAAGCCCACAGACTGTATCATGATTCATTTATAAATGAGATTCAACTAAGCCCACAGACTGTATCATGATTCATTCATAAATAAGATTCCACTAAACCCACAGACTGTATCATGATTCATTCATAAATGAGATCCCACTAAGCCCAAAGACTGAATTATGAATCATTCATGAATGAGATTCCACTAAGCCCACAGACTGTATCATGAATCATTCATGAATGAGATACCACTAAGCCCACAGACTGTATCATGAATCATTCATGAATGAGATACCACTAAGCCCACAGACTGTATCATGAATCATTCATGATTTAGATCTCAATAAGCCCACAGACTGTATCATGAATCATTAATGAATGAGATCCCACTAAGCCCACAGACTGTATCATGAATCATTCATGAATGAGATCCCAATAAGCCCACAGACTGTATCATTCATGAATTAGATCTCAATAAGCCCACAGACTGTATCATGAATCATTCATGAATGAGATCCCAATAAGCCCACAGACTGTATCATTCATGAATTAGATCTCAATAAGCCCACAGACTGTATCGTGAATCATTCATGAATGAGATCCCACTAAGTCCACAGACTGTATCATGAATCATTTATGAATGAGATCCCACAAAGCCCACAGACTGTATCATGAATCATTTATGAATGAGATCCCAATAAGGCCACAGACTGTATCATGAATCATTTATGAATGAGATTCCACTAAGTCCACAGACTGTATCATGAATCACTCATAAATGAGATCCCACTAAGCCCACAGACTGTATCATGATTCATTTATAAATGAGATTCAACTAAGCCCACAGACTGTATCATGATTCATTCATAAATAAGATTCCACTAAACCCACAGACTGTATCATGATTCATTCATAAATGAGATCCCACTAAGCCCAAAGACTGAATTATGAATCATTCATGAATGAGATTCCACTAAGCCCACAGACTGTATCATGAATCATTCATGAATGAGATACCACTAAGCCCACAGACTGTATCATGAATCATTCATGAATGAGATCCCACAGACTGTATCATGATTCATTCATAAATGAGATCCCACTAAGCCCACAGACTGTATCATGAATCATTCATAAATGAGATTCCACTAAGCCCACAGACTGTATCATGAATCATTCATGATTTAGATCTCAATAAGCCCACAGACTGTATCATGAATCATTCATGAATGAGATACCACTAAGCCCACAGACTGTATCATGAATCATTCATGATTTAGATCTCAATAAGCCCACAGACTGTATCATGAATCATTAATGAATGAGATCCCACTAAGCCCACAGACTGTATCATGAATCATTCATGAATGAGATCCCAATAAGCCCACAGACTGTATCATTCATGAATTAGATCTCAATAAGCCCACAGACTGTATCATGAATCATTCATGAATGAGATCCCAATAAGCCCACAGACTGTATCATTCATGAATTAGATCTCAATAAGCCCACAGACTGTATCGTGAATCATTTATGAATGAGATCCCACAACGATAGTACATTTTTTCCATCAGCCCTTCATAAATAGGATCCCACTAAGCCCCCAAACCACAATATCAACAATAATTTGTGAATGATATTCCACTATGGCCCCACACACTGTATCTTCATTCATTTGTAAATGAGATAAATGAAATGAAACATTTCGATAACTGTCTTGTATGTAATGATCTGTTTGTCTTTATTCTCAGAAAGAAAAGAAGGGTAAGGATCGCAAAAAGAGAAAGCTCGGGGCTAAAGGTGGAAAGCTGTCTTGTAGACTCTTGTAATGAGAACGAGTTTGCTCATGTCTGTGTTTCCAGGCCCAATGTCTCATGAGAGCTCACCTCACCAGCTGGTGGCTGTTCAACTTGTTCGACCTAGCAGATTCTTTGTCAGCTGGTCATCAACCAGTTGAGAGTGACTGCAATCTGTTGAGCCAGTTTTGTAGGTTGTTGTCATGAGCTTGTTCATTGGGTTGTTGTAATGGATTGATGCTGTTTTTGAGGCTGTTATAAAATGGAGGATGTTTAGTGAATTGAAGCTGTTTATTCAGTGGTTGTAATGAATTAAGATTGCTGTTTTGGTTGTTCCAGTGAAATCAGGTCTCATTTATGGGTTGTTGAAATTGGGTCTGTTATGTGAATTGAGGCTGTTTTATGGAATGTTGTGATAAATATAGGATCTTTTATGGACAGTTATTGAATTAGGGCTGTTTCATAGACTGTTGTGATGATATTAGGCTGTCTGTGGGAAGTTTGAGTGAATCGATGTGTTTTATGTGCTATTTAGATGAATTGAGTCTATTTTAATGACTTAACACTGTTTTGTAATATACTGTAAAAGACTTTAGATGATTTTTGAGAACTTTTTAATGATTTGAGGCTGTCTTGATAACTTTCATTGAATAGAGGGACTGTTTTAATGAAAGGAAACTTGTTTGCAAGGCTGTCTTGGGGCTGTTGAAGCCGATATTGATCAGAATCTATGTATGTAACCATATGTGTACGTGTATAGTGTATGTGTGTCCCAAAAACATTTATATAAATGTTAACACTTGTCATCTATAGCTTTTTCAAGTATAAACCCCACAGACAAAATGTGTTTTGAAAAAAAAAGTTACATAATTTTTTTGGGGATTGTGTTAGTGCCATTAGAATTAGAACTGTGTGCTGGCTGCTGAAGATGGGGACGTAGCACTTTAGGGCATGTCAAGCGTACTGTGATGTTGATTCTTAATTCAACATTCAAGTTTTTTTTAACTTTTTGGAAGCTAGATCAAATTATGGTAGAATTTTGTCCTGTGTTATTCTCGTAAAAGACATTCAAATTAGAATTATCATCAGCATATGACCTAAAGAACAGTTAACCTGTCGTTAAACAAAATGGCCAAGGTACTGTTATCATTTGACGATTACAAGATCACTTTAAAGTGTCCTTCGACGTCAGAGTGCATCTGCCTGAGAGATGAGGAATCAACAAGTCTGCACACAAATAAACCAGATCTGTAAAACAGAAGTGCATGAAAACTCAAGTTCCAGAGCAAGACTAAAGTCCATACGTGGACAAACAACCAGAACTTTCTGCCAGAGTTTACACCCAGTCAGCATAAAGAAGCAGAAGAAGAAGACTGTAAAGTAGTATTTCATATTTAAGAACTTGTTCAGCGACAGTTTGCCACACACCTGGACAGCAGCACACCTGATGTAGCCATTATACTGCCCTAATTAAATTGGTAAGAGGGTGAATATGGTATCTGGAATTTGCTGTATTGAACTAACGTCCAGGATGTGGGCCTTTGAGGAACCGGAATGTCAGCCCATCTGCTAGCAGCATTGAAAGGGAAAACCTTCAGTAAATCCACCACACTTCTCAGCTGCATGTATGTGTGGTCATTTGGAAAAGCAGGACACTTACAGCGTGTGAGGTGCACAAGTGTGGCCTCCCACAACTACACTTGTGCTTCCTTGGTTGTGATAGAGAATGTGAATGTGTCATTTGGTGATGTGTTAAGAGTTCAGAGAATGTAGATGTGTCGTTTGATAAAGTGTTAAAGATTGCAGAGGATACGAATGTGCCATTTGATAAGTGTTTAAGAGTGTAGAGAAATGCGAATGTGCCATTTGATAAGTGTTTAATAGTGCAGAGATTGTAAATTTATCATTTGATGGAGCATTTTAGAGTGCAGAGAATGCATATTTCATTTGGTGGTTTTTGAGTGCCAAGAATGTGAGCAAATTGTTTGATGATATGTTTTAGAGTACAGAGAATGTAAATGAGTCATTTAAAGGAGTGTTTTAGAGTGCGGAGTGGAATGTTATAGTGCCAAGAGAATGTGAGTGTCTCATTTGATAAGGTGTTATTTTTTATTTCTAATACCAACAGAATGTGAATGTTCTATCTAATGGAGTGTTTTAGAACCAAGAATAAAGTGAAGGTGTCATTTGAGAGCCAAAAGAAAGTGAAGGTGTCATCTGATGGGGTTTTTGTTGTGTTTGCAGGTGTTTATCATAAGACCATGAAAGTGACTTGGGAGTTGGAACAATGAAATTCATGTCTGAAGTAAATTGTAAGCAAGATTCCTATCCTATTAACATTTTATGTTAATCTATTCATATGGACCCTGGAAGGGAAAAGAAAATGGAGAAGACCAAGAGAGATCCTGTGTAGAACCATAGTCAGAGAAGGCTCAAGTATGGGCCTAAAAAACATCCAAGACCTAAAACAGGTGGCAACGAACCGCCAGACATAGAGAGCTATGACCTCTGCACCACCCTAGATTATCTATCTAACAATTCTTGTTGTCTGCTTGATAGCAAAACAGCTAAACTTTAGGTCCAATGCTGTTTATGAAACTAAGGGATTTTGGTTACTCAGATTAGTTAACACAGCAATGTTGTTTGTGGTGACTGCCCAGGCTTCATGCTATGGAAAAGAGGGACTTTATCCATGGCCTTCATTGACTTTGACTCTAAAGCCTCTCTATATATAACACTGTCATCTGGAGAGACAGACAGTGCCAGCGAGAGGGGGGATTATTGTTATTACCATTAGTTGCAAAGATAGACTGTGACATTTAATTCCTAGTTGTCAGATTGCTTGCAGAGTTTGCATTTTGCAGCTAATTTTTTATGTTTCTTTTCCTTTGAAAATCAGTAGGCCAGGGTTGTAGAGAGAAGACACAGATACCAGATGAACACATTCATTTATGAATATGGAAGGCTTGATTGATAGTGCAGTGGTTAGAATCTCTCCTGCCAACCTGAAGATTTTGGGTTCAGATGGGGGGGGGGGGGGGGGGGGTTAAAATAAAGAACCCAGGCTTTCAGATAAGTATCAGAAAAATACCTGTTTCATTGAAGGTGGTCGGTATGCTTTGTTACCACTTTGCTCGTCCAGTGCTGGTAAAAACAAAAATTTTGTTCAACACATGATTTGATTTGCCATTGGGTTTCAGAGGGTCCTTTGCTTTTTTTTTTTTTTAAAGTTAGTCTGAGAATTGATGTCATTGTACTGGGTTTTATCCAGTATGGCTAGAACTCTCTCTACACAGCAGCTAGCCACCTGCTGAGAGTGTCACACAAAGCACGAACTCTAGTGACGATCCTCAGGAGTTTCCATAAAAATTGCACCCGTGAATCAAATGACACAGCCATGAAATGAACCCGTGACCTTCACAACGTGAGACAAACGGCTTGACCACTTTGCTACGAAGTCGCCCGATTGTATAGCATAAACAAATACATTACACACAAGCGTGCGCACACACACACACACAGATAAATGGTATGTTTTAATAGTGCTGATTGTATGTTGATTCACTATTTTGTTTATGTTTAAAATCTTGGATTTATGTTCCTTTCGTTATATGCAAAACTAACTGTATATAGCAGATCCACAGAATTTGTTTCTTTTATGAGTACGGAATAGAATCAAGTGTATTATTGTTTCCACTGGCTGTTAGTAGATATCATCTAGGGCTCTAAAGTTGCACTGTTATATATGAAAGCCTCTTTAAAGTAGCACTGTTATATATGAAAGCCTCTTTAAAGTAGCACTGTTATATATGAAAGCCTCTTTAAAGTAGCACTGTTATATATGAAAGCCTCTTTAAAGTAGCACTGTTATGTATGAAAGCCTCTTTAAAGTAGCACTGTTAAATATCATAAAAGCCTTTCTAAAGTAGTACTGCTAAATATGAAAGCCTTTTTAAAGTAGCACTATTAAATATGAAAGCCTCTTTAAAGTAGCACTATTAAATATCATAAAAGTCTTTCTAAAGTAGTACTGTTAAATATGAAAGCCTTTTTTTGAAGTAGTACTGTTAAATATGAAAGCCTCTCTAAAGTAGCACTGTTAAATATGAAAGCCTTTTTTAAAAAGTAGTACTGTTAAAAATGAAAGCCTTTTTTTAAAGTAGCACTGTTAAATATGAAAGCCTCTTTAAAGTAGCACTGTTAAATATGAAAGCCATTTTTTAAAGTAATACTGTTAAATATGAAAGCCTTTTATAAAGTAGAACTGTTAAATATTAGTTGTTAACCCTTAGGCTCGGTATTATGGATATCGCAACCTTTTGGCCTTGATTCCATTGTAAATACCGTAAATCTGGGAGAAATGTGGCTTTTCTGCCTACCCCCGGGAGTGAACTCGGACCACAAGGAGTTCGTCACCCGGTCACCGCGCAAACCTGTTTAGCCAACTACGCTAGAGAGCCGGGCCATGGAGGCGTCTAAAGAAGCACTATGAGATATCCTGAAGGCCTCTCTAAAGGGGTAAATAAATAAATTACTAACTTGGTACTGGTTTTGTTACATTTTGTTTTTAGAAAAAGTATAAACTATGTGAGAATATTTGAAGTGCCTGAGGCGAGAGATTGAGTTTCTTTTGTGCAGATAGACTGTAATGAGAGCGACATTCTGCAAAGGACACTGTCTATGTTAGGGAATTGAGTTAAGCCAGTATCTCAACTTGGGTGAGGTAAGCCACTAGCTAGACTTGTGTGAGGTAAGCCAGTATCTCAACTTGGGTGAGGTAAGCCAGTACCTAGACTTGTGTGAGGTAAGTCAGTATCTAGACTTGTGTGAGGTAAGCCAGTATCTAGACTTGTATGAGGTAAGCCAGTAGCTAGACTTGTGTGAGGTAAGCCAGTAGCTAGACTTGGATGAGGTAAACCACTGTCTTGATTTGACTTGGGTGAGGTAAGCCAGTAGCTAGACTTGGATGAGGTAAACCACTGTCTTGATTTGACGTGTGAGGTAAGCCAGTAGCTAGACTTGGATGAGGTAAA